CAGTCCTAAGTTAGCGCAGGATCCTGCCAAAAATAATTGTGCAGTTATGTATGACCATCCAGAGGCACATGGATCATTTTTACACATTGCATTATTATTTTTTCTTAGTTTCCCTTCTGGCAACTCCCTCCATCCCAAAACTAATATTAAAACTTGCCAATGTGTCAAATGTAGCTTAGAATTCAGCACTAGAACTGCCAGAAGGAGGGGTGGGAATCCAGTCCATATGAGCAATTGCTTGCATGAATTCTTACACAGCCTTCCTGAAACAAGATATTTGCCCTGATCCACAGGCCTGGTTGTAGCAGCATCTAGGGTCTAAATCAGGGGTCAGCAACCTTTTTCAGCCATGAGCCAGTCCACCATCCCTCAGACTATTTTTTTTATTATTATTATTTTGGGTGGAGGAAAAGAACGAATTCCTATGCCCCACAAATAACCCAGAAATGCATTTTAAATAAAAGTACACATTCTACTCATGTAAAAACACCAGGCAGGCCCCACAAATAACCCAGAGATGCATTTACAATAAAAGGACACATTCTACTCATGTAAAAACACACTGATTCCCCGGACTGTCCGCAGGCCGGATTTAGAAGGCGACTGGGCCGCATCTGGCCCCTGGGCCTTAGGTTGCCTACCCCTGGTCTAAATCCTGAGCTGGTGCCTGGACCCACCAACTCCACCTGCTTCATTGGTGGTCACCTTCATTATATGTCTGAAAAAATGGGGAAGAGGTGAAGGATCTGGACCAAGGTAGAAAGGTTAATGTTGGAGCTGGACATCTGTTATGAACTGCCAATGAACTGATGAGTGCTTGATTTATCAGCTAGATGCTCAAGTAGTTTGGCGGCAATCTCCATCCTATCAGGACAGCTGCTTTTCAGTCACAACAGTCAGCTGGCTATATGGGAACACAAGAAGCTGCCAACTCAGACCATTGATCTATCTAGCTTAGTCTGGTCTAAGTTGGTTGGCACTGACTCTCCAGGGTTTCAAGGCAGGAATCTTCCCTAGCCCTGCCTGGCAACACCAGGGATTAAACCTGGGAGCTTTTGTGAGCAAAGCATTGGCTCTGCCACTGTGTTACAGCTGTGTAATGGTGCTGTAAAGGAACTTGATGTTTAGGGCGCAGAACAAGATTTGTAACATACACAAACATAGTCTGGCCCTGGGGATTACATTTTCATTTGATTTGGAACTGCTGGTAAAATAACACCAGTTTGCAGCTCAGCTCACAAAAGTGCAACTGCTTTCAGAAATGGATGAGGAAGCAGGATGGAGACTTTTGTGCAAGATTAGACTGGAAGATCAATTGTACTCTTGTTGTACTGTTGGGGGGGCAGGGGGTGGTATACAGATGAATCTTTTCATGATTAAATACCAGTCCAAATCCTTCTAAAGAGAAAGAAAAAGCAGGAAGGGATTTTGTTTCGGATACTAAATTATGCCACTATCCTACAAGCTAGCTATGCAAAATTGCAGTGGCATCCAGAATGGCTTGCCAATGTGAGACAGCAACATCCATTGTGGCAAGGATGCTCAGGTCACTTCTGATATATTGTCTTGGAATGGCTGGATGCAGAGGGATGAAGGGAGCCAGGGAATTGGTGGTGGGATGATGGTGAGTGGTCAGAGGGAGAAGATTGGGAAGAGGAGGTGTCAGAAACTGAAGAGGTAACAGGGCTTAGTGAGCATGAAGAGGTTGTGGCCGAGAGCAGTCCAGAACCAGAGGCATAAGAGGAGGCTGGAGAGAAGGGGGACCAAGAGGCAGAGATGAGGCAGGCTGCTGAAGAAGCCAGGGGGTCTCCCCCTCCTGCTGCGACAAGCTTCATTCAGAAGATATGCTGTTTTGATTTTAAATTGTATTTTTATTGCTTCTTTTATTTCTTATATTGTACTTTATTTTATTGTAATACAATACAGTACATACAATAGAAGAGATAGAAGAAGCAATAAAAATACAATAAAAATAAGCCACACAGCATCTAGCAGTGTATTGCCATTGTTACAATAGGCAGAAAAATCATTAAGTGGTTCCCCAAGCCCTCAGCGATTTTCAAGTGTTCCTTGGAGGAAACAGTCTGAGAACCACTGAGTTAGGTAGGTATGCTTTTCAGAGAAGTGCAGAAGCCAGCAGACAACTGTATCTGACCCAAAGTTGAGAAAAGGTGAAGCAAGGTAATTTCAGCGTGAAATTTACAAAATTTAAATCCCTCTCTCGCTTGAGTCATCACTGGTAAGTAAAGCCATGAACAAGACAGTTCTTTTAGGCCAGGCCAGTGAGAACATTAACCCTTTTGTTCTTTTAAAAGCCCAAAACATTGCAGATGAATGCACCAGCTGCTTACTCAGACCCACAGGGAAGTAGAGAGAAGAAAGTGCTTTTTAAAAGTGAGAAGCACCGTTAGATATACAAAGTTCTGTGTGGCTCCCTGGATTTTGTCTATCGGATTACAAAACTGAGAAACAGCCTGAACCTGTGACAATTATAATCTATGGTCTGTTGACTCTTGCAATTTATGACAGATGGAGGGTGGCAATGGCCACACAGTGTGTCAGTGATTGGTCTGCTGTAAAACATATTTTATTATCCCATAGATTTCCTTTAGTGTGAAGAAAGTGGATAAGTAAAGAGAGGAAGAGAGAGTACAACACTCCAGGGAAGTATGGGTTGATTGGGGAGGTTGGGTGATGACTCTCTAAAATTTACAGTCTAAATGGAAGGGCAATTGCATTAGATTGGGTGTTTATATCATCTCTCTGTTGCTTTTTTTAAAAGGCTACTTATTTTCCATGACTCAGTCAATACTATTGAATGAAAGAAAGCAGAACATTCTCATATACCTAGTTAGCATAAAAGGGTATGACAGTAATGTTGCTATAAGAAAGAAAGATTGCCCATTCCAAAGGAACTCTAAAAATAAAATGGACCAACAGAATATTGATTAGTCTGTCATTGGGTGCCCTTTTTATTTTGTCATTTAGCCTAGTGAAGAAGACAGAGAGGGAGGGGGAAAGAGTGCCCCTGGCCTACTTTCAAATAATCTACTATGAAGTGCTGAAAATTATTTATTAGAGTTTTTTAAGAAGAATTCACGTGGACTGCCTTTTCCTTTATAACTCAGGGGATAACTTAACTTTTGCTACTTATATCCCGAAATAAATGACATAATAAAGCATTTCGGTGCCCTTTGTTCAAAGGAGATTCCAAACTTTCTCACACCTCTTTAATTAACATTATAACAAATCCAAAGACAAAATTCATATACTTCCACGATCTGCATTCATGCACACTACACTCCCAGTCCCATTTTATCAGCATCTCAGTTCATCAAGAGTCAGGTGCAGATGAAAGCAGGCACCTGTACAAGCATCCCCTGCTTGGGTCCAAAAGTGCACCCACAGACATGGTTCCTGTGTTCAGTTACCCCATCCAACACTTCATGTATGACTCTCATCGCTATATCAGGAACCAAAATCACATGTAGCCTCCAAGCTGGTTTCAGATTTCCAAGACACATTTCTCCTCTAACATGATTGAGCCATGTTAGTCAATGACTCAGTCGGACACGAGTGATTCGAATATCTCGTGCAATTGAAAGACACCCAGTATACTATGTAACAAGGCGCTAATAAACTGGTAGGAATGGAATATAAAAGACCAAAATACAGTTTGGGAAGCACATTCGCAAGGAGTTCGTAATGGCAGTGGAGGATAAGTGTTTGACATTGAGAATGGTTTCAGATATCATCAAAGAAAAGTCAATGAAACCAGTTCATCTTGGTACCAAATCAGCCACTAAATCAGAGGTGAGTTCCTGCAGATGCTATTGAACAATTCCCATCATCCCTGGTCATTTGCCATGCTGGTTGGGACTGATTGGAGTTGGAGTCCAATAACCTCTAGAGGGCCACAAGGTTCCCCAGTCAGGCACCAGTTCTTCACTGTGTTCATATTGATGTTTGAATTGAAAGCCCATGATGTCCCACTACAGCAATTGGCAACATAATTTCCTACCCCATGTTAAGTCATTGTGCGAGGGATTCACCACTGTGCTATTATGATCGTTCCATCAGTGCAAGCATTTTGGCTTCTCAGAGGGAATGATTGTCCCTCTCCTCCCTCTGTGTGCTGTTCTGAGGGTTCTCCCAGTTCCCAGAGCCCATTTGGTGGGTGCGTAGGGGGGAGGACAAGGGGAAAACTCCATTGCTAGTGGGATTTGTTGTGCTGGCTCCTGCTAGCACAACTGTTGAACTGAATTCAAGGCTCTATATATTTGGTTTCTTTATTTTCATACACACCTAAATTCTTTAGAAGGGTGATTTAACTTTGTCTACCCAACAGTACTTTGGGCTGGGGGGCGGGCAGCAACCTGATGATGCTGTGTAACAAACATTTTCTGAAACTCAGTGTATTACAAAGGCAGTTTGCAATGCAGCATGGCAGAACTAAAGCCTGCAATCCTATACCCATTTACCTGGGAGTAAGTCTCATTGAACTCAATGGGCATTACTTCCAGGTAGGTATGACTAGGATTCCACTTTCTAGGAGATCTCTGGGTTTTTGGAGAAGACCAATTAATGTGTGTTCAAAAGTCACGCAATCGTGCGCACACGCATGGTGCCAACCTGAAAACGTCACACAATGCATCATTAAAAGGGCGGAACCGGGGCGAAATGGGAGTGGGGCCGGAAATGGAACCCCCCACACGAAATGGCCAGCAACTGTACTGTAATACTGCCCATGTGGTAGTCATATGTAGCTGTACTACATGTAGATATTAGATGTACAATTCAGACAAATACATATAGGGTGAGGTACAGGTAAAGGGACCCCTGACCATATAGGGTACTTGATATGTATTATATATGCCTGGCAGTGTCCTTGGTTTCTTTATTTAAGGCACATATGCTTCAGTAAATAATCCTCCCACATAAATTCAGAGCAGGTAAAAAAACAGGTAAATTTCTTAAAGGGCAAATTCACTTACTTGGCTGCATGGATGAGCACACTAGGAAGATGAGCTGAACAGGAGGTAGATGTGATTAGCAAATCTCCTGGAGTGGAAAAGGTAAGGTGATTCACTGCATGGCCTCATCTACTGCCATAATTAAAGAAAACAAGGTGCTGCCTCGTTGAAGTGCAGAAACCCTGGGAAAAAGAAGACGCCGCAAACTGAACAGAATATAACTTTTTGAAAGAAAGTGCATCGCTCATGCATTTTCTAAGGAAATTGATTTTTCAACTTCTTCAGTTAAACTCTGAATTCATGAATAAGGTATAACAGACCACCTGCAGAGAGAATCATAAATGGAAAAAGGAACAGATAAGCTGGCCATTGGGCTCCAAATCTCTGAAATGGGGACAGAGATTGAAAGGCGAGTTCTGAGGTGAAAGCTAAGCAACAGCAGATCTCGAGCTTGTTTGCTCAGAGCAATCTACATCCTTTTCAAAATCCAACACAGGGTCCCTTAATGGTGTGGGAGGCTGTGAAACAGCAACTTCTACACTTGGCCCAAAAGTGATGTTGTTAGAAGACCCTGGCCACATGGGAGGATAACACACTGCACAACCTTCGTAATGTCAGCATTGCCAACACTTCTGGAGGTTTCATGCTATCCGTGGCTGATCTGCAGCCCATGTCCCTCACACTGCCTGGGCCATTTGGCATTAGTTGAGAAGCATGGGAAGAAATCTACTGAGCAGTTTCCAGACGGCCAAGACAACGTGAGATGGGGCCAGGAATTATACAAGATTAAAATGATTGAGGTTGGCAGACTTCAGCATATGTGACCACTATGTTTAATACATGGAGGCCATGGAGAATGGTATCTGTATACTTATTACACACACACACACACACACACACCCATGGCTTCACAGTTATTTATCACACCGCTGACATAGCAATGCCAAAACTATTAACATCCATGTGAAGAGGAGGCAGTTGGATATGTGGACACCAGCATTATGTATCAGGGCAGGTGTGGGCAGCATAGCCTGATTTCATGTGACCATCAGTCTAATTTCATGTGGTTGGCAAGGAGGGATAAAAACACCCTGTGTTAACTGTAAGTCACTCCAGCGATCTCCTGCCTTATAAAGCACAACAGGTAGGCAAGCCCTTATATTTGTCTTTTAACATCTATGTTCTAACCTTCATCATATTAGAATTCATGGTTCCGCACAAGCAGAAAAGAACAGCACACAAAAATAAAAGCAAAAGCAGCCAGCAAAGCTATGAGACTACATATGCACTCCTTGGGTTTGACACTAGTTGACAATGTTGTGGGTCTCTCAACTTACCTTGCTTGAATCAGGGCAGGGAACAGACCTCTAATCTACAACAGCCTCACCCAATCTGATAGGAATTGTAGTCCAAAACATCTGGAAGGAGTCTGAGAAAGCAAGTCTAGAGCCCTCATTCTCTTCCTGTGAGCCACTGTTTCAGTCTCTCCTTCCCTCTCTTTCTCATTCTCTCACCCATCCAAACTAGTGATTCACTGAAGCCCCAGCTCAATCTTCCTGAGCCATAACCAATAGTTATTCTCTCAAACTGATGCTTAGTAACCCAAAGGGTAAAGAGGGCAAGTCTACTGAAGAGAGAGGATCTGTATTTGGCCATGCACTCCCCCCCCTTTTTTTTTTTTACAACAGCTATCAAGGCTGTTTTGACCAGGTTGGCCCTGGTTGATCAAACAGACCAACAATGCCCTGGCTTTCACAATATTAATTTTGCCCCAATTAAAATGTATTGGCTAAAGGGGCCCTTCTCTGGGTGACCTTGGGCCAGTCACTGCCTCTCAGTCTAACATACCTCACAGGGTTGATGTGGAGATTAAATGAGGCAAGGGAGAACCATGTACGCTACCTTGAGCTCCTTGGAGCAAAAGGTGGGATGTCAATGCAATAAACAAATAAAATAACCAGGCTTCTACATTTCTGTTCATCATGCTAGCTGGGGCAAGTACTCATTTGCCTTCTGGAAGCAACCAGATTTCCTTCCAGCCTTGGAGCTACAGAAGTGGGTGGGAATTGGTCCTGGGAGTCAGTTCATCAAGCTATCCCCAGTCCCAATATTGGAAATAAGGCTGGGGGAGGGATTGGCACCTGCTTTAATAAGACAATCAGAATGGCTTGGTAGCACATGGACAAACTGTTAAGCCCAGTGCTATTTTTCTAGAAAAAGAAGTGCCGGAACTCACCATGAACACCTCCCTCGTTCTCTTAGAATGGCAATGGCGCCACCTGAAAGGTGCCAGAACTGAGTTCCGGCAAGTTCTGGCTGAAAAAAGTCCTAGTTAAGGCCACCCTTTCTTGCTCTCACAACCTATCATTTTAAAAAAATAAAAATAATAAATCCAAATTTTGATTTATACATTATTGACCTAACATGAGGAAAAAGAAGAAATGTTCAATAAAACATCATAATAAAACGCACCACAAGCTTCTAAGCTATTTTATTCAAGTGCCTCATGAGAAGAAGCGGCTGGGCGGTAAACACGGTTGTCTGGAGTTAATTCAAGCAGGTGCCTCCTTCAGCCAGTAAATATAAACTTAATTAAAGGACTAAACGATTCAGAAAGAGTACGGGTGGGCGGCTTTCAACGAAACACAAGCTGGAAAAGCAACTTTGTGGGGGAAATGAGAAAGAGGGAATTGAGTGTTTGTCTCAAGTAAAAAAGGGGGGGAGGGGAAGAATGTTTGAGGCCTGATGAATGGCATAAAAAGCACACCGAACAGATGAAAGGCTTTGAAAGCTAGGAAGTATATCCATAGCTACCGGCAGATTTTAATTCAAGCTGAAATAGGCGGTGGAGAAAAAGCAGGTGGTAGAAGCCTTCGTTTTAAATAGGATGTGGATTTCTATTATACATGCCTTGTGGCCTAAACCAATGTTGCTCCAAAGCAACCACCAATGTAGTAATTGTTCTGCCGTAGATTCTTCTTTCTAAACACTGTTTTCTTTAATATGCAGCTGAATGCCAAGTCACACTGGGCATAAATTATGGAGAGGGGCAGAAAAGCATATTCACAGAATTAAATCAAATTTAACCCATAATCAGAGCACTTTTAAAAAATGCCAGGGGGTACTTTTTCAAACTTGTTAAAGCACCCTAGAATACGGCACGAAAGCCAGGGGCTTAAAGCTGCGCAAATGGGCAGCGTGTCAAACTATTTAACTTTTTTGCTTGTTTAGGAGGATCAGGGATGACGGAAATTATTCTAGTTCAGTCTTTAAAAAAAGTTTAAATATACTTGTAGCTTGAGGGAAAAAATGAAACATCATTTATATGTTCTTGGTCTGTGTGTCTTAAGTGATAAGGTCATTCATACCATTGGGTTGCAATACAACTACGGTGATCGTGTGTCCTGCCCAGAGGTAGATTTCTGTTTGAAGGACTGTCCTCTATTATTTGAAAGGCCGTCTGATCCAAGCCCAGTTTCAAGATAAAGAAGCATCACGCAGGAGAGCAGAGGAGGCCTTGAAGCTGCCCATCAACAGTTGGCAGCACCCGGGTTATCTGAAAACAAAACAAAGCCACAGTCATATTTAATTAATACTGTATTTCAAAGATCTCTAAGTGGCTTTTAAAGGAACTTTGCCTCAAAGCAGACCTCACAGAAATTAAGGGACTTAAATTAGTCGTGGCTATTCATTTCAATGGGTTTCCTCTGAGTAAATGTTAGCTGGCCATACAATCCTTACAAATATATTGTTTTTTGTGGGTATGTGGGTGCCATAGGCCCCTAAATTCCTGGGTCCTCTTGGTAGTTCTCTGCCCTCAGAAGCTGGGTGGGGAAGAGGACATTCTCTATGGTAGCACCCTAAATTGTGGAACTCCCTCCCAAAATGCATCTGGCACCTTCATTACACAGCAAATGTTGACAATGCACCTCTTTGCCCTGGCTTTTGGCACTTGAGTTGTACAGTTTTCGGACCCACCTTATTTCTATTATTGTTTTTAAGCTGTTTATAATATTGTGTTTCAATGTTGTCACCTGCTCTGGGACCTTAAGGTGAAGGATGGGTAATTAACAGTAGCAGTCTTCATGGACTCAAATCCATTTCACAGGATTTAATTTAAATACGTACCTGCCAAGTGAAAGCTTAGTTGACAGGCCTGCCGTTAGGTTATAATTACTATAATTATAATTTACTATATCTAAATTAGCATTTTTCCGTGTCCTATTTTATCCGTCTTTTGGAAGATGATGGATAGGTGACCAAAGAAGTCTACAACCTGCACACAAAGTTGTTGTGGGAAGGGAAACAGACAGAGAATACAGCATGCGCATCACTATTATTACCATCTTTTGACACTAAAAGGTGCAACGAGGTGTTAAGAAATATCGTGTTGACGGTAAAATAAAGGCACTACCCCAGGCATCCCCAACCTCTCTCTTGCTGGCTTTTCTATCTAAATCTACCTATTTCTATCTAAATCTTTCTTTTCTTTTCTTTCAGCTGACTCATTCAAAATCAGTAACCTGAAAAAAGTTTTGGGGGTGATGGGGGAGAGATTTTTACACCAACCGAGGTTTAACTCAGACTTCTAAGTAATGGCTTTGTTTCTTTTCAAGTTAGAATAACATGAAACATTCAGGTTTGATACAACTCCTCGGTTTTTAAATATATAAACTGCCCTCATAGAATTTACAAGGGCCTTGTTTACATAATACCTCACTTGCCTCCCTGTGGCCTGGCCAGACCAGGGCTCACCTCACATTGTCTACCAAATAACACCACAACAAACCCCAAAATGGGAAGTGTGAGGGGATTCAAAACAATGAAGAACCACAAATATAAATCATCTGCTTGAAAAAAATGTCCTCAGGTTTCTGAAGTTAGCTTGGGCTGTGATAGGAAACATTTACAAACCACCTTCCTTGTTTAATTATTTTATTATTCTAGTCAAAACATCTACCACTTGTTTACTGCCCTCTAGAATAGGTTCTTATCATGTTCTTTATACTTTTTTGTTAATAGTTTTGCTCTGTGGGGTAAATCATTTTCATATTTTTAAAATAAAAACAACAACATGTCAGACAAACTACTACCACTTATTCACAGTGGGAGACTAGAAGCAGCAAGGATTTCAAACCCAGCAGAGCATTAAAGCAATAATCCTGGATTTTGGAGATGTTCATGACGTCAATTATCCAAACTATTTTGTTTACTCTATCCGAAAGGCCACTCTAGCAGTTAGTGTTCCAAAGACTGCCAGTGATGTACTGTCCTAAGCATGAGAATACTGTTACGTTTCCACTTTGCTTCCAAACACCTCAGTAAGTGTGTTCAAGTTGTACTGTCCAAAGCATACTTTACTGTGTGCTAGACGAGACCAATAACGCAGGTGTGCATTCCATTGATTTAAACAGAGTTTTCCTCCAAGTCATTGCACTTCGGACTGTGGCCTCATCTTTTATAGATCCCTTGCAGCCTTATATAGTAAATCTGACAGAGCAAGATTGCAGAAAGGTTAACAACAGGGTTACTTGGCTTTCCTCTGAAGAAGCAATCCAGCATCTTTATTCAGTTATAGTACTACAAAGCCTTTAGACTGAAAGAGGATTATGCACAAATGTTCACTTTCACCTGGCTTTTGTACGACTCCCTATCCCCTGGAACCTTGAACAGACAGTACAAAAAACCCCGAGGAAAGGAGATTATCAGGGATCAGCCTACATATTATGTCTAACATCTACGGCAACTGCTGAATCCCTGCCTAATATTGTAATGGGGTGTGATTGGATTTAAAGCTTAATTCTCAAACTGCAGGTCTGCCTCAAAGCAAGAGACTTAGGAAAACCTGGATATGAATTCAGACTTTAACTTCTACACTTTATATTGACTGACCTCTTTAAGATGCCAGTCTCTCATTAAATACCAAAATACAGCTCCTGTTTTAAAATGTACTCGCGTTGAAGGATTAATAGGTTTCATGGTTTTGTTTGTTTCTGTTTTGCACACTGAGGGCCTCTTTGCAGCAGCACCACCAGCAGCAAAGCTCCCTGCACCACAAAGCAAATACCATCTACCAAAGGCTAGATGGGATGTGCACATACCGGCATTGTCACAGAGACCACTGCAGGAGCTAAGTCCATGTGGCCCTGTTCATGATGTGGGAAGGAGCTGCTGAACAAGGGAAGCAACAGTTACAGGTAGGTAGCTGTGTTGGTCTGCCATAGTCGAAACAAAATAAAAAAATTCCTTCCAGTAGCACCTTAAGGTAAAGGTAAAGGAACCCCTGACCATTAGGTCCAGTCGTGACCGACTCTGGGGTTGTGGCGCTCATCTTGCTTTATTGGCTGAGGGAGCCGGCATACAGCTTCCAGGTCATGTGGCCAGCATGACTAAGCCGCTTCTGGCGAACCAGAGCAGCGCATGGAAACACCGTTTACCTTCCCTCCGGAGCGGTACCTATTTATCTACTTGCACTTTGACGTGCTTTTGAACTGCTAGGTTGGCAAGAGCAGGGACTGAGCAACGGGAGCTCACCGCGTCGCGGGGATTCGAACCACCAACCTTCTGATTGGCTAGTCCTAGGCTCTGTGGTTTAATCCACAGCGCCACCCGCATCCCTAAATAGCACCTTAGAGAACAACTAAGTTTGTCATTGGTATGAGCTTTCATGAGCATGCAAGAGTACCACTCTATTCTGCCTTGGTCAGACCACACCTGGAATACTGTGTCCAATTCTGGGCACCGCAATTTAAGAAGGATGTTGGTAAACAGGAACATGTGCAGAGGAAGGCAACCAAGATCATCAAGGGTCTGGAAACCAAGCCTTACATGGGAGGAAGCCATGGTTGCTAAATCCACTCAGAAGCCATTTGGGTTGTATAAGTCTCTATACATTTTAAAAATAGCCATAAATAAAAAGTGGCACAAGAATGCTCTACATGAATGGGACAGATGGGCCCCTTTTGTTTTGTTTTTTTAGTCTTTAGGCAATGTGGTATTGATTTACATAGGAGGCTTCTCCTCCCCACAAACTTTCCACTGAAGAAAAGCTGCAAGAGTTTGTGCTTTGTGAATCAATGCCTTTCAATTAAAGCACAAAGGGCAGAAGAAAAGTGGTGTTGTTAAAAAGAAAAACAAAGGGCTCCAAACTAAATTGAGTCATTAGCAGAGCAAAAGAAATTACTTAACCTACATAAGGGAAATCTCAATTCTTAAGAAACTCCATGGCTTTGGGTTTTTGTTTTTTTAAAAGCAATTATATGTTGAGAAGTTTTAGGTTCTTTCAGTCTGCCACGCTTCTAATGCAAACCAAGCGGGGGAAACGCAGCTATAAATCAGATAATTTGCAAAATGCGATTTCTCATCCAGCCATAGAAGGTCTGCAAGAAAAATAACACCACAGCCACACAAAATAACAGATTTTACTTTTCCTTCCCTCTCTCTCTAAGTAGTAAAAACAGCTTTTCACCAATGCTTAACAGCTTCTAAATGTTGGAGATAGAGACAAAAGCTAGTAGAGCGCCAATATGACCACCTCCCCTTAGCTACTGGGGGGGGGGCATGATTTGGCTAAAATGGCAATGATCAGGAGGTGGTGGTTTTTATTTTTTTTTACAAGCCCTCATCCCTTTCCTCCCATATATTCAAGCATCTTCTAACCTTGAATTTCCTAACGCTAACCCTGGCATTTAACTTATAATGATAGTATCTACATATGAAAGACAGCTGATAGTGTTCTGTCACACTCTGTAGCTTATGGCTGGAGTCACCAGGCATAGAGGAGTAGTTGTAGCTGCTGCCCAGTGGTGTTCGTGAATCCACATGTTGACTTTCTCCCAAATAAATGAGTGGCTTGACACTCAGTGCTGCAGGGGAAAGCAGAGCTCTATGCTTGGGAGCAGCACTGCAGTGAGAACAAAACTAGCCTTCCACAGTTTATAGAAGCCCAGTTTCTACATACCACTAAGCCAAACCATGGCTAAGCACAGCAGAAATCACTGCCATTTCACTCCTCCCCTGGTCATCCTGCTACCACGCTACCTGGAGCTAAGCTTTTGTTTAGACTGGCATTGTGTCCAACCCTGGGCTCATGGTTTGTCTCCCTCAGACAAACCACAACTGGTAAGCCAAAAGCAAACCTTGACTACTGCTTGTGGTGTGTCTGGAGTGAAGTGGCTGAAATTTCTGCTGTGAATGCTCATGTGTTCACATTTAAGACTGGAAAAACGAGAAACTAAGAGAAACATACATGGACAGGTGCATCCATCCCAAGATTGTATTTGGTCATCTCTTCATCTCACACTTTTTGATGGATTTCCCCATCACTTTCTTAACTGCAAAAAGTCAGTTTCTTTCTAAGTGGATTTGTTGCACCAGGGTGACAAGAGTGCTTTAATTCCTTTTAATTGCACAACCTAAATTTATTGGTATGCAACTGAATGATCCCTCCCACATAATACTGACAATCTGAAGGCATTCAGAGACATGGCAGGGTCTGTGTCTACTGAAATTTGTTAAATGATAAATTAAGTGTTTCATGTCTTCTCTCCGAAAGGTCCTAATATTTGAAAATGAGCAGCTAGGGTCAGGTTCTCCCAGACAGCCTTTCCATTTTGAAGCAGGCCTAAACCTGTGCTCAGCCTAGGTTTGGCTTTCAGTAGAAACTAAATGTGGGGTTGGGGAAAAGGCTTTCTGTTTCTCAAAATTAATTAAAAACAGGTACAGATGGCTGTCAAGTCAAAACTCCCCTCTTGGATGCTGTTTGAACTGATAAACACTTCAGCCTCAAACACTGAAGAGGTTGAGGTGCTTTGTAAACAAAAATGTTGACACAGGGGAAATTCTCCTTTAGCTTAATGGGAATGCTTTGATGCAGCTTTGAGGAGAGGTTTTCTTTCTTTTGGGGGCAACTATAGATGGGAGGTTGCCTTTTTAAGAGCACAACAAAAGTATATCTGACATGTTTCAGCCCTCGCTGAAAATGCAAGAACAGCTAAAGCCTTATAAGTATTTAACAGTGCTTACAACCTATTTGAGAATGCATCGTTAAAGCCTTTTATTTAATGAATTAGCTGAAATGAAACTGCTTTCCCTATTTTGTTCATCTAGAGGAGAAGCACATTCATCTTTTTACTGTTTACTTCTGATAAAGCTGGCCTGTTGAACTATAATATCCAGGGATGGGTCCAAGAAGCAGAAACAGCTGACAAGCATGGCTTTCTGAAACATTTACCTGATGTATTTTTGCCTTATGCCATCTCCTTTTTCAGGGGAGGGAAATAGGTTTACTTGCCCCAGGCCTCTCACTTCAGCTCTGACAAAGTATTAGGTTGCAATGCCTGAACTACTTTTCCTTCCAGAACCAATGTAAAGGGTCAGCATTTTAAGGCCCAGTCTGGCAGAAGATCCATCACTGAGCCAGCATGCTGGGCTAGACTCCCGTTTTTCAATGCAAGAGGGAGCTAGCAGCAAAGCAGCACAAAGGACTCGCCCTCCGCTATCTCTTCTAGGCACCCTTCTCAACAGGAAATTAGATATTGGTCTGCAACATCACAGGTGTCTTGGGGTGATTGTCCATTTCCCAGTGGGAAAGGTATCTGCAAAGAATGGAGCAGCTATGCACCTAAAAGCTAAAAAAATCATTGCTCCGTGGCTTTGTTATGTATAATTGTTTAATTGCACACTGAAATAGAGAATGCCTGTATGTTGCTAAGGGTTTATCACTGGAAAATTCCACTGGCGTATACTAAACTAGAAAGAGCTCTCTGAGCTTCTAGCTGGCTTAATGATTAACTGTTGATGTTCTCTGCTAGCTCTCACGTGAGTTAGATCATGTGATAATGGTAGGCTTTGTTTGATTGTTGCAAAATCTCAGAAAAATAGAGATTTTGAGCTATTTTTTTAAAAGGAAATTCAGCAAAAAAAAAAGAAAAAATCAACACTTCCAAAATGGGTTGCCATACACCCGGTTTCCCCAGACATTTTAGCCTCCCGGACGCTATATCCGATGGACATAGCCTGGATATGTCCAGGAAATTCCAGACATATGGCAGCCCTAGATTAAGGAGTTACGGTAACTTGAAAATCTTCATTCATTCGTTGTTCCCAGGCACACTGGGAGAAGAATGTGATAATGGTGCCTCTTCAGGTGCTGTGTAGCCTTAGGCTGGACGCAGGCTAAGGGAGGGACAAAGCTTTGTTTTTTGCTCTGATTGTAGTTAGGTTATATATTTAAGAAGAAGACCCTATGCTTGGATAAGCATATGCTTTGTGGAATTATTCTGGCTGTATCATTGATTGTTTTTATACCTGTTTTGAACAAGTTCTGGTTAGTACAGCTTTAAATCATAATTATGGGTCTGGGCAATTATTGTTCCAAAAGGAGTCAGCTTTTATGCATCCAATTGCTTCATGCTGCACAATAATAATATCTGTCATGGGCTTCTGGGAAGGGCCTGTCAATTTCAGTTATTTCATTTGTTCATCTTTTTCCCAATTTGAAATTCAGTTCTCCACATTTCTGCAGCAATTTGTGATACAGTGGTACCTCACAAGACGAATGCCTCGCAAGACGAAAAACTCGCAAGACGAAAGGGTTTTTGGTTTTTGAGGTGCTTCACAAGACGAATTTCCCTATGGGCTTGCTTCGCAAGATGAAAACGTCTTGCAAGTTTGTTTCCTTTTTCTTAAAACTGTTAATACAGTTGCAACTTGACTTCGAGGAGCAACTCATAGCACGCGGTGTGGTAGCCTTTTTTGAGGTTTTTGCAGACTTTGGTGATTTTTGAAGCTTTTCCAAAACTTTTCCGAAACCGTGCTTCACAAGATGAAAAATTCGCAAGACGAAAAAACTCGCAGAACGAATTAATTTTGTCTTGCGAGGCACCACTGTACAGGCATACATACCCATCAGCAGTTTTGATTAACGTACACTTTTATTCAAGCAATCCACCCTAATACAGTGCATAGCATTATTTTTAAGCCTATGCATAATCTCCCCCACTCTGCCCCAACCTAACCTAGGTTGATTTGGGAACCATTTCCCTACCTCAGCTCCCGAACTCTGCCTCTCAAAATACACCCCTGCCAGGCCTCATGACCTGTTGCCAAGCAACCGCTATGGCAGCCAACCAGCACTACCTCTGCCACTGAAGGTTCCTGCTTTCTCCTCCAGTGTCATCAACTGGCAGGACAACGAGGAGGAGGAAGAGAATCCTGGCAAGGGACTGGGACATACCAGGGCAAGCAGGGGACGGAAAAGGCAGTACTCACAGGGTGACAGATGATGGTGAGGGGATGGAGGTCAGTGCACAGGAGGCAGAGCAGCAGGACCCATTACCAGAGCCAGAGGAGCCCCTGTCTCCACAAACATGGCTGGCTCTGAGATGTAAGGAGCAGCGGGAGATATGCTGTAGGAGGCTGAGGCAGGTAAGGGCCCTCAGCTCAGGTGGAGCTCGTTAGCTCAGGAAGGAGGTGTGTGATTCGTCAGCTGGAGTATGCTCAGGACAGGTGAGGGTCACCTGCCTCGTCAAGCCCAGATTCTGCAATCAGCATGCAAGGTGTAAAAGGGGAGCAGAGGTGAAGTGCTGGGTCTGCTCAACTTCCTATATTGGTTGAACCATGGCTTGGCTGCTCCGGAGAGCTCTTGGAAACTGTGCTTCTGCGGGACTGACTTCCAGGTGCCCTGACCCCTGGATTGTTCCCTCATTGCGAAAAGCAAAGCTACAGGGAACCAGGCAGAGGGCCTTCTCGGTAGTGGCGCCCACCCTGTGGAACACCCTTCCAGCAGATGTCAAAGCGATAAACAACTACCTGACATTCAGAAGACATCTTAAGGCAGCCCTGTTCAGGGAAGTTTTTAACGTGTGATATTTTACTGTATTTGTGGTTTTTATGGAAGCCGCCCAGAGTGGCTGGGGAGGCCCAGCCAGATGGGCGGGGTATAAATAATAAATTATTATTATTATTATTATTGGCTGTAAAGGCAGGGATCTGACCTGACTGGACTTTGGACCCGTTGAGCTGCTGGATTACACACTAGTATCCGCCTTGGGATTGTGTACACCAGCTGGACTTGCCACCAGGTACCCCGTGGTTCACAGCACACTTTGCTTTTTGCTCTGATTCTAATTTTGTTATATATTTAAGAAGAAGAATCTATGCTTGGATAAAGCATATGCTTTGTGGAATTATTCAGGATGTATCATTGACTATTTTTGTACCTGTTTTGAAGAAGTCCTTCTTCTTAAAGCTTTGAATCGGAATTATGGGTCTGGACATTTTTTTAATTTCAAAAGGAGTAAGCTTTTGTGCATCCAATCGCTTCATGCTGCATAGTATTATTTGCCATGGGCTTCTAGATAGGGATAGAAGGACCTGGCAATTCCATTTCTTTCATTGTTTCCAATTTGTAATTCAGTTCTCCACATTCCTACAGCAATTTGTTATTCACACACTCATATGCACATCCTCTCCCACCATGCCCCAACAGAATCCAGGCTGACTTGGAAACCACTTCCCTACCCCAGATCCAGTCCTTCATCAGCTTGTAGGGCAGGGCTAAACTCTAATTAAACATCTGGTCAGGATGTCAAATGCTTCATCTCCTCCCTCTCTAATGCCCAACCAGGAACAGGAGGGTTTAATCGTCCTGTGGGATGGAGGGAATTCCTTTACTGCTGCCATGCAGAGGCCCCCTTCACACAGCTCACACTGGGGCAGCTACTGTGGGTGGTGTTAAGTTGTGGGTGAACATATCAGACGACACAGCGATTCTTCAAACAGCTCTTGTTTATTCACAGGCCGGAACAGTACTGAACTGAAGGGTTCAGCCAGCCTGTTGCCACTACAATGCAACAGTAACAACTTTCTGTAACTATCCAATCACTGAACGTCACTTTCAATTCCTTATTTGCATATGTGGACCTGAGTGAAAACTATCTACAGTATCCCCCTGCTGGCCCATGGTGAGAACTTCAGTACATAATAGATGGCACATGGGGCACCCAGCCAGCGGTGATGCAAATGCCACTCTCAGTACTTGTGGCCCTGAGCCAACCACCTTGCCTGCTCCTCTGCAAATACATCTCAGGTTAAAATGTAGTCCAAAAATCTGAAACTCCAGAATTCCAAACTAAAAGGAAGTGGGCAGTGCAATATTACTGGAGTAGAATAAACCCATTATTGGAACGCAAACCATGAAGATGAAATGCTGCTTTATAGGCGCAAAAATAAAAAAAAGATGGGCCAATGGCAGTGCATCAAATCACTTTCATTAAGAACATAAGAATAGCCCTTCTGCACCAGGCCAAGAGTGATGTAGTCCAGCATCCATTTCTCATAGTGGCCAAACCAGATGCCCATGAAAAGCCTACAAAGCAGGACTCGAGCAGACGTATGCAGTAGTTCATACTGAAGACTGGCAGGCTTATTCGTGCATAGAGCAAGTTTATACTGAAGGCTGGAGCCTTGGAAAGCATTTTGCTGTAGTGTTTCAAGAGAATTTGTGCCAGTGATAAACAACACAGCTGCAGAACTTCAGCAGGAAAAAAGGTCAGATTCTAAAACTTTTGTTTCTTGGAGCCCATATTTTTAGCTTGAAATACGTAAAAACACTTGCCTTTGTTGTGTGTTTCTTGTGGGCACTATTTCATGCAAGGATTTTCAAATCATATACACACAAGCAGTGTGACAATTTAATATGCATGCAGGATTTTTCACCAGCGTATTGCAAAGGTAAAACCAAACTTTTATGATGGGTTGAGTAGTTTCTCTACTCCTGAACTGGTTACCATAGACTTGATTTATAATGGCATAGGAGTGCTCCACTGAAAAGTGCTGAGGTGATCTTGAAATTTTGTCTTTGGTACTAGATCACTGATAGCAGAGGCATATGTAGAAGTTGACGTTGAGGTTGATATTGAGGTTAATATGTGGAGGTTGATGTTGCAGTTATCAACTGATGAAAGGGCGTAAATGAACCACGGTTAAGCTCTGTTCCAAAAGCATGTGCTTTTAGGTTTAATTATGTAGTGTAAATTATGTTCATCTATAAAATATGCATTTTCCCCCTCCAGCTGCAACCAACAACCAACTTCCTACAAACAACATGCATTGGCTTTAATGTGATTCTTCTGAATTACAGCGATTTCAATCTAGAAAGTTTTCAAGGGGTTTTTTTTAAGCAAATAAAACATAATAATGTAATTATGTGTACTGTTTTGAAGTTTAATTGGAATATGGGAGGCATTTTATTTGAAATGTTTATTTTAAGCAAACCTCTGCTATCTCGTTTCACTCTGTGCCCGTTTTCCTTTGTTAATTAAACTCTATGCAATATAAGTTATTTATTAATTTAACAAAAAATATGTCACTTGATTGTAAGAAAACCTTTAATCAGTTTGTTTCAACTTTTGTATCTCATTTTATTTATTTTTACATAGATTTGGATGGTGAAGGTTAAACTTCTGATTACTTGAATCTTTAAAGAGACTGAAATAGGATCAAATTGTGCACAGCTAGAAAACTAATGTACTGTATATGCTGCTTTTATAAACTGTAGTCCTAGTTTAATTCACTGTACTGCTTTCATTATTTTTCAGATGAGAGTATTCATTTTCTTCATAATTTTAATAACAATGGTCAGTGTGGCTGTTTTCCTTGCTTTGGTCCAATGGGGCAGGAATGACTTATTCAGTAAGTAAAAAATGAAAACATTCTTTATAATACAGGGGAAAGAGGGGCACACATAATGCCCTAAGCATCATTTGATGTATTTGGAGGGGGGACCCAATTTTTTTTTTTAAAGAAAAACCCCTCTTGGTTTACTTTATTGATAATTTTTATAGGATTTTATTCCCCTGTTTGGGGTAAAGAAAAGTCATTCACCTTTTCTGTCCCCATAAAGTTCTGAATGTGTAGTTTTAAATTATATTGTATCTCATGGCATGCTATTTTTTGGGAATTCACACTTCATTTATTACTTCCATCTTTAGAAAGCCTTAACATCAGGGTCCCATTCCTAATTGTGTATTGATGTGGTCCACTAGTTGCAGCAGTTAGGAGTCTTACAAAACGTTCCATACCCTAGATCAGGCACCCCCAACCTGCGGCCCTCCAGATGTTTGGGCCTACAACTCCCATGATCCCCAGTTAACAGGACCAGTGGTCAGGGATGATGGGAATTGTAGTCCAAAACATCTGGAGGGCCGAAGGTTGGGAGTGCCTGCCCTAGATCCTCATTGCTGGCTCTGATGTTAGGGAGTTTCCACTGCCACAAAAGTTCCTGCTGTATCCAGCAAAAAAAAGCAACAAAAAACTTACACACCACCTCAATCTGTAAGGTACTAATCAGCCAGAGGCCCAGTTGAAGAAGGTTTTTGCCTGGTGCCTAAAAATATATAATGAAGGTGCCAGGTGAACTTCCCTGGAGAGAGCATTCCACAAATCGGGTCCTCCTTTAAAGTGTTGCGGTGAGACCTGGCAACCTAACCCTGTGTTGTGGGTGGGTATGATTGGATAGCCACAACACCCAATTGGTAGGTTCCTTGATGCTGGTTTTAATCAGGCCAATGGTACGCAAGCTAAATGGATCAAGGGGCCTATTTATGCCCATGCACGTGACCCAGAGCTTCCTCTTTTGGCTTGTGCATTTGGAACACCCGCCCACCTCTTCCTACTTTTAGGGCTTGTGCAATTGACCTTGCTATGCTTTCGTGTGTCATTGGGAGAGGGGCATGGCAGGAATTTTCCCCACTTGGCTGATTGGCCGTTGCCATTTGGGTTTTGCCTGCCATGTAGCAAATCATCACAACTTGTAAGGTTCTGGTTCAGGTGATAGGGATGGGAGAACACTCTCGCCATCCCTATGTGAAGGGTATTCCGTTAAAGGAATTCAGGGACTCGATGGTTTGGTCAACCCCTGAGAGGGGATTGTGCCTGTTCCTGAGTCCAGGGGGAGATTTGGGTGGTGGAGATAGCCTGTTCCTGACTTTCCACTTATCCAGGTGTTCACCCTAGGCTGACCTCTGCTGGTGCCCTGGGTCAGCGCTGCCTGCAAGGGTGCAGGGAGCTAGTCGAACCAGAGCCTATGCAACCACTCACTTTTCTGTAATCAATAAAGTTGTGGCCCAAATTCTGCCAAAAACCAAACAAAAATTTGAGTCTTGTCTGAATTTATTTAAGGGGGAGGTTTAAAGGTCTAAACATGCAAATGGGGAGCCACTACAGAAAAGGTGGGCCGCCCACAAACTAATGGGAGGAAGCTGCTGCTGGTGGTATCTCTGCTGACAGTAACCAGTGTAAATTTTGAAATGGGGCATTGTACTGTATTTTGGTGATGACCTCATGAAGGGAAAGCAGAAGAGGCATTGTTCCCTGATGTAGCTCACAAACGTGAGCCTGCATGTCATATAGCTCAAATGAAGAGAGGCGATGTCTTCTCTGTCCCATTTATGGCATGTTGCATGCTTTTGTGTATTGCTATTACAAATTATGTCAAATTATGCTTTGGTCCTGTGGTGACTCTCTTTTAAACATGTATAGGAAAAGCAAAAGAGCATGGAATTAGGAGAACTCTGCAGGAAACCACTCCCATCCAAGGTGAAGAAACAACCAGAAGAAGAGAAAGGTGAGATAGCAACCTCATACCTGGCCTTGCTCAGTGATCTCTTGCAGGTCCTGCTTACAGAATTTCCTGTCTACATTCACCTTACAATTGCATCAAGGCAGGACAGAATAATAATAAAAAGCCTTCTGCACATCATAATTTACATATGGGACTCTGGATTACAATAATAGGCTTAAAGTGGAGAAAAAGATTTATACTGATTAAAGCACTGATTCCAGATCATGCAGGCACAGAAACCACAAGGGTGGTAGAAAACGAGCAACTTATGGATGATTAGAATCTATGCTCGTGGCAAGAAATTCTGTTAAGTATTCTAATTCTTCTTCCGACTTTGTAACTGCAACTTGAAGCAAAACAAGGCCCACATAACTTATAACAAACTATTAAACTGTGTTGTGGTTGGGGTTCCAGAGGAGAGCTGGATGATCTTGGGCCAGTCCCTGTTTCTTAGCCTAGCCTATCCCTAGGATTGTTGTGAGGATAAAAGAGTTGAGAACCACACATGCCAACTGAGATGCCTGGAAGAAAAGCAGGGTTTAAAGGCAATATATAAATAAATGGGATCAATGTATTATTTGTACACTCAGAGGAGGTATAGAAAAATTGGGGGTGGGGCATGGGGTCCCCTCAGTCCATGATCAGTCAGAGAAGAATGGATAGAGGCCAGTGAAAAGCAAGACAGATCTTTATTTTTTCTGTTGCAACAGAGTCCCCCCTCCTTGCAAGGAGGTAAGACAGACGCAGAACAAAATTGTACAAGCCCCTTTAAATACTGTATATGTTGCCCAACCCCTTGGTCAAAGACCACCCTAAAAGTATCATACATACATCACAACTTCTTGGGCAATCACTCGTAGCTGAGTGAGATTGCCTTCCATGAACACAGTCTTAACAGTGATCTGCAAGTGACTGTAGAGGCCAATTCTGGATCCACATATCCTTCCACAGTGGGGACATAGGTTTCTGGGTGGGAGTTGTTCTTGGTGAGGGTTTGCCAAATGTGCCTTCCTCTTGGCACGTTTCTCCCTTGCGTCCTGAGTTCGAGTGTCTTCAAAGTCCATGACACCTTTGGTAAAGGCTGTTCTCCAATTGGAGCACTCTCAGGCCATTGTTTCCCAATTGTCAGTGTCCATACTACATTTTTTAAGATTTGCCTTGAGAGAGTCTTTAAACCTCTTGCTGACCACCAGCTTTCCATTTTTAAGTTCAGAATAGAGTAGTTGCTTTGGAAGACAATAATCAGGCATCCAAACAACATGACCAGTCCAACTAAGTCGATGTTGAAGAATCATTTCTTCGACACTGGTGATCGTTGCTTCTTCCAGTACACTGGCATTAGTTCACCTGTCTTCCCAAGTGATGTGTAACATTTTTGGGGGACACCGTTGATGGAATCTTTCAAGGAGTTGAAGATGGTATTTATAAGTGGTCCATGTTTCACAGGCATACTGTAAGGTTGGTAGTACAATAGCCTTGTAAACAAGCATTTTGGCTCCCCTGCAAATGTCCCGGTCCTCAAACACTCTGCACTTCAGTCGGGAGAAAGCTGCACTTGCAGATCTCAGGCAATGCTGGATTTCAGCATCAATGTCGGCTCTTGTGGAAATATAGGAGGTAGGAGAAGTGATTGACATTTTCCAATGTTACACCATTGAGCTGGATTTATGGCATTGCAGAAAGGTTGTTTTGTGCTTTTTGGTGCAGCACTTTGGTTTTTTGAATGTTGAGCGATAGGCCAAGCTTTTCATAAGCAGTAAGGCTCTATTCCAATGGCATGAGTATCATGACGACCGATGGATTCTTATCTGCTGCATCCTTCATCTGCCTTCACAGCTGACGTAACATACAGCTTGTTCCACCTGTTCTGCTGTTGGACCATTCTTTGCCTAGCTTCCTCCCCTTTGACCTCACTGCCTTGGGTGACCCTGCTGGGAGTACGAGACTCCCAATGACTTCACTCACAAGGGTCATAAAAGGTAAAGGTAAAGGACCCCTTGACAGTTAAGTCCAGCCGCAAAAGACTCTGGGGTTGCAGCGCTCATCTCGCTTTACTGGCCGAGCGAGCCGACATTTGTCTGCAGACAGTTTTTCCGGGTCATGTGGCCAGCATGACTAAGCCGCTTCTGGCAAAACCAGAGCAGCGCATGGAAATGCCATTTACCTTCCCGCTGGAGCGGTACCTATTTATCTACTTGCACTTTGACGTGCTTTCAAACTGCTAGGCTGGCAGGAGCTGGGACCGAGCAACAGGAGCTCACTTCGTCGCGGGGATTCAAACAGCCGATCTTCCAATTGGCAAGGCCTAGGCTCAGTGGTTTAGACCACAGCGCCACCTGCATTCCTCACAAGGGCCATAGGAAAATGCAAACCTACTCACCACAACAAGGTGATGATCCATTGAGATAGTAGGTGGTCTACAACAAAAATTTGAGAGTGGCTCTCTCCTGTCTGTCAAGGTACCCAATAATGTTTTGCTGATTGCATTACCTGAGTAGCCTGGCCATTCTTTTGAGATGGTAAATACTTTAGTTCTTGCAGGCGTACCTTATTCATACACAAAATATGCCCTTAAGACAGGATTTGTAAGTGAAAAGAACTACTGGGAAAGGTTTCTCCAAGATATTTCCTTCTGCAGAGGAAATACTTGAGTAATTAGAAGGGCCAAGATTGCTTTTGGGATCAGTGGCGTAGCGTGGGTTGTCAGCACCTGGGGCAAGGCAAGTAATTTGCGCCCCCTAACCCGTGGATTTTAGCACTCGAGTCTTCCGCGCACACCCCCCCCAGATGTTGCGCCCGGTGCGGCCGGCCCCCCCTGCATCCCCCACGCTACGCCACTGTTTGGGATCGTTCTGTGTGCTAAAATAATGTGTAATTTTCTCAAGGAATATTTCCTGAAATTTGAAGGGTGAAGGGTTGGTTTTCTGTGGAGAGTGTGTCTGCTATGTGTATGCACCTTAAAATTTTTGTAACAGATGTATGTACAGGTGTAAACTTAATATCGCAGCTGTGTGGGAGCAGCAAAAAACATTGCACTGAACATTCACTAAATTACGTGAATGAAAACAAATTTGCACTGTTTTAAGTAATCTACAAATCATTAATTTTGTAACCTGAGAGTGTGTTCCAAATTCTCAGCAATGTTTGGGGAGAGCATGCTGAACAATGTTAATTCGTGCCCTGAAGTGGTGTTCTTTACCAAAGTTTAATAATCCTTGATTTTGAAGCATCAGTGGTGCATTGAGACCAAGAACTTTCAAACTATGAAAGGGCGGGGGGTGGCAGAGTGGGAAACAATGAAGGAAGGAGAAAGTGCATATTTCAGATTTGATCTTCAGAAAGTAACAGGGTGCACAGCACTGTGAAAACCCAAATGTTTAGCTCGCAAATAACTGAAGCAAGAGGCAGTACAATACAAATGAGTTTCAGCACTGCCCTTGAGGATGAAAAAGCACTCCTGGGTTGAAGAGGCAGTTTCTCATCCAGTTTCAGATTGGGAAGCTCTTAATCATTCCATAGAAAGGATTTCAGGGTTATGTTTGCTGATTTAATGAACTAAGTTTTGGAAGAACTTGCGCTGAGTGAACAAGTTTCATTTGTGACCTCAACTTGAACTTGAATCCTAAGAGGGAAATAGATTTCTTTTGTAGTTTTTCTTCCTTTCAGACTGTATTATTTTTACCGGGTCTCCCACCCCCCCACCCCTGCCGCCATGTACCAGGTGTTGAACACACACTTATTTGTTTACAATTAACATTAACACTGCCAATCATTACTGGCACAAAAATCCGTCTAGAAAGACTGTTTCTATGTACTGTCCAGTGTCTCACATATCTAATTGCTCTCAGATCTAATAAAACGAACCAAATTATGGATTTAATAATAATAATAATAATAATAATAATAATAATAATAATAATAGATTTGTTTTGTCATCCATCTCACTGGGTTGCCCCAGCTACTCTTGGTGGCTTCCAGCAAATTAAAACATTGTCCACTGTTTGTGAGTTCTAGGTTTATGTATGTTAAACAGAGTATAATAAATGTATACAATAAATATACCATGAACAGCTTTTGCAGTCTATGATAGGAAGCACAGACTGAAGTAGAAATAGAACTCTTGAATCTAAAAGGCCAGGAATGTGCTTGAACAGAGAGAGAAAATTGTATTTAAAATACCCACAAAGAGAAGCTGATAAACAATGATGGAGCAGTAAGCGCACCCATGAAAATCCTAAGAGATGACAGCATAATTAAAGGGGTTTTTAATCACCATTATTTCTTTCTTGTGTAGGCTTCTCGAAAGACATGATACAATGGCTCCTTCACAGTTTTTGGCATTTTCCAAATATTCATATCAAGAGACTCAAGCTATCTCTCAAGCGGCCGAAAGCATGGAAGCTTCGATGCAGGTTTTGAAAGGAAAACTTCACCAGAAGCATCAACGTTCATTGCTTCCAAGTGGTAAGCACAGGCAGATGCTCACAAAGATCCCTTGTGGCTGCTTAAGGGTTGTGCTTCTTAGATTAAAGCAGTATCGACTTCATTCTAGTCTTATTTTGCTGCAGGTAGAACTTAAATTCATATCTGGGCTGTGCACACAATTGGACACAATTGAAAAGAGGCCGCTTTTTGTGCTTCGGGGAAGAAATTCAGATACTCCAAATAACAAAGAACACTTGTATCAATGTCTGAGATCCTGATGCGAAGTTCATCTCAGGAATGCTTTAAAATGTTTATTTTTGTTTGGCTTGAGTATACAGTTTACTAATGTTTCTGGACATTTTAGAAAAAACCAATAAGCACTTAAGAAAAATATTTGCATTTTATTGCAAGTATGCAACTGGCATTCAAACTCTGTGGGTGGGTGTGTACTGTGATTCTTGCATCAGTATTTTGAATGGTGCTGCACCAGTAATTGCAGTATTATTAATTTGAGTTGTTACCCAAAGCCTTTCGAGAGACATTTAAAAACATTAATATTCTACCATTAAAAAGAGAATAAAACAACTTCCAAAACAGACACAGGAAGTTTAGGCAGCATACTAGCAACAAAACAATGTAGTCTATCAAAAACATTGGGGGAAAAGATTAGATTTTCTTTTTTTTTCTTTTTTCTTTTTTGATTGATTGATTTTAATTTATTTATTTCTATATTTTTTTAAAGATATTTTATTGAAATTTTCACCTTATTACATTAAAAAGAAAAAATCAAAAAAGAAAAAACAAAAAAGTTAAAAACACATAAAGTTTACATCCTTATTTTCAATAACATATTTCCCAGACTTCCCCACACCTCCCCTTCTTGTATTCCAATTCACATTATTAGTTCAACAAGTTCTTGTCCCCAATTCTTGACCTGTTTAAATTTAATTCATTTTAGAGAAACCAATTTAAACTTATAAACATCAATATTTGTACATCAGTACTCATTCTTAAAACCTTTTTCTAAGGTCGACCCAAATTCCCCTTCCACGAATTCCCCAATTTTCATACCAATAGCAAAACAGAATAAAAAGGAAAACAAAATATAATTGTACACCCTTTGGATTCCCAGACCCCACCCCACCCTTTCCTGGTTTTGATCCCCAACAAATGTCCATCAGTCTTAGTCTACTATCAGCCTGGAAACCTCACGTCCGAGGCTCTTAATTCTCTCACAGTTCCTTTCTGCCGGTTTTTTTGATAGTCCTTAGTGTTAAACACCCGATCTCGGAGAAGTTCTATCCCAATAGGGTCCATGTTTCTTCCAGCCAGACCTCCATACTTAAAAGTGGAGCCCGAATCTTGTTTCTTACTCCTTTTAAGTCCAAATGTCCCAAAAGCTCCAACTTCCACCTTGATCAAATTTGTAATCCATAGGTCTTCAGATCTCCACATAAGGGGATCTCTCCATTCTTCAATCTCCAATTCAGACCAGATTTTCATCATCCAGTACTTATTTTGCTTTGTAACCATCATGTCAGGCCTCTGGCTCTCCTTTGTCATTTGCCACATTACATCTCCTCCTTCCTTTTCTTCAGAAACAACATATGTCTCTTTTTCCACACTCTCAAATCTCTCAAATTTCTCTTCTTGTCCAGCTGCATGGGCTTCCTGAGTCAAGTCCTTATCAAATTCAATGAATTTGTTTACTGTTAAGTCCAGAGCTGCCACATTGGTAGCCAAAACATCAATTTGGCCTTGTAACTTTCCCAAGAGAAGAAACACTCTGTCCAATTTAGCTTGAATTTTTCCTCCTTCAGCCATTCTTGTAATGTCCCAAAACCCCCTCTAGAGGGATTTTGGTTACTTAGTATTCCTTCCAGTTCAAATCCAAAAATCAAATTAGTTTGTAACAGTTCTTCCTTATTTTCAACAAAGTATAATCAAATTGTAACAAATATAGCCAGCAGAAGCAGCAGAAACAAAGTTCTCTTTTTCAGTCTTGACAGCTAGTTTGACAGCTGTCAAACTCTTCAATACCTTTTCAACAGGCTCTCTCACGGATCACTCCCGGGTCCGGGGGGGGTTAACACTTCAGCTCTCAAAACTAGCTCTTATCCTCCAGTAAAATTACTTATATTGCCAAATCGTGAAATTAATGTCTTTTACTCAATAGAGAAGAAGACGTTCTCTCGACCTTAGTTGGTTAGTCCTTGCTTTAAATTATTTACAGGACGTGGAGACGGACTTCCTTTTTGCGCCTTCTCCGGTCGTGCCTAATTCAAACAAGTTTTTTTCCTTGCAAATCCAATTTTCCAATTACGGGTTGTTGCTTTTAAAGTCCAATTGTTCAAAAAAGAAGAAGTCAGTGCTCTCCGACCATGGCACGCGGCTTCACTCCGCAGGAGGAGCAGTCGACTCTCAGCACCGCGCCACTCACCCCGTCCCCCGTTCCGTAGCCTTTAAAAAGGCTCCTTCGCGGGTCGGGGGCACAAACGGTGCCCGCCAAGTCACCAAGTTCACAGGCTGCAGCGCTTGTGATTTCTAGGGGTCCCCGCGTCGCCGCAGCGGCCAGACCCAACTCCTACGGAGCCGATTCCCTCTAGAGCTCGGAGGGAATCCGCCATTAATTGATGGCGCTAACCCGGAAGTCAAGATTAGATTTTCTGTGGCAACGAAAATATGTCAAAGAAGGTGTCAGGCAGGTATTGCTGGGGAGAGCATTCCACAGATAATGAATGGTAGTCAAATGCTGTGCACAAAGAGTGAAGCCGTGTTTTTAATTTCCAGATGTGTTACCTGCTGATGTTCTCATGATGATTACCAATGTATCTGGATGTCTGCCTTACATGCTGCCACCAAAATGCCTAGACAATTGTATGACCAGGAAATACAGACATATCACCGGAGCTTGCCAGAACAGGTAAATCTTACAGCAAGAGGTATAATTATGTTGACTCTCCCCCTTGTAATGCAAAACAAGCTGGCCTCCCTTGTTTTTCCTTGGGCTTCCATACTCACTTAGTTTCACACTGAAACTCTCTGGGTTTGCTTCATTTGAGAATCCTTTGAATTTTTACAAGCTCATTTGAAAAATATAGTTGTGATTAAGGATAAATGTTTGCTGTTTAGCCCATTATGGATGCATCTGTTGGCTGTAGATGTTTGTGGGAATGTGCAGTATCATTTAAACCCTGAACCATCTTTGGGGAGTCCCAGTAAGTGCTTTAATGTTACATGTATATTGAATCTGGCAGCTCGGTATTAAGATATACAGTGGTACTTTGGTTTAAGAACAGCTTAGTTTATGAACAACTTGGATTAAGAATGCTGCAAACCCGGAAGTAGGTGTTTCGGTTTGTGAACTTTGCCTTGGAAGCAGAACATGTTCCACTTCCTGTTGAGTGTAAATTGAGTCCCCCGCTGCTATGGGAAAGCATGCCTTGGTTTAAGAATGCTTTGGTTTAAGAACAGACTTCCAGAATGGATTAAGTTCATAAACCAAGGTACCACTGTAGTTAGATTAAGCAACCTTGCATATAAAGAAATATATAAAGTGTAGATTTGCATTCAGGCTGTGAACCGGAGCTTTATATGAACATAGGTTGCCCTTGGCAGATGATGGACTGTGTCAAAAAAATGTACCCTACACTTCACTATGGATATTTCTGTGCATTCTTCCTTGAACACAGCACTCTTGCTCATGTTGCTGAAGATTCGGGTTTCCCCATTTGTTTCAGCTGAGGGAACAAATCCACAAGCACACTGTTTGCCTCCCCACCGCTTTTGAAAAGAAAGGTTCCTTACCCCAGTAACATTCCAGTGATCTGCTAAAATATTAAAGCAATCAGGAAGAAAATCACTGGTTAAGCTGTTAAATTAACATATCATTACTTTTAATTGAGTGAAATAGCACTATGTGCAGTATTTTATGCCATTTCAATAAAGACAAATCAGCTGTAACTAATCTGAATGCTTTATTAAGGCGTACGTCAACCTTCAAATGTGAATTATCGCAGTTAATTAAATGTATTACTGTCCCACATTGCTTTGCAAATTGAGCCCCTTTGTATACTGAAGATCAATGAAGTATTACTAAAATAATTGTTCCCTGTTAAGTGTCCCTACAGAAACATAAGTGTATGACTAACTTCGTGTAGATCATCTGTGTCTTTCTGTACAGTTGCACCTTGCAGGGACTCCTATATGGAAGGAACAGTCTTTTTTGTTTGGTGCTCCAGTAAATATCTGTTCTTCTTCCTATCATCATCATTCCTTGCTCATTCTTTAGAGCAGCCTTCCCAAGCTCCAGATGTTGTTGGACTGCCACTCCCATCAGCCCCAGCTAGCATAGGCAGTGGCAAGGGATTGTGACAGCTCTGCTACAAAACATCTGGAGAGAAAGAGATTGAGAAAGCTGTTTGGGGCACTCAGAGAAGCTTACTTGGGACTTTGTGCTTTCACCTGTGCTTTTTGCACAAAGAAAGAATCAATTGCCCCCGGGTTTGGGGAGCTCTGAAAATAGCAAAGGGCTTGCCGTAGCCCACTAAACCCATGCAGTTGAGTGTGCACGGACATGAAATTGCCCAACATTCAACATGAAAACTTCTCATCTTTTTCAACCTCTTTCCTTCCTTATTCCCAATAATCACATGGCTTTGGGTGATTTCCTTGAGCCATATTCCAACAGGTCATAATAACATGAGTTGTGTTTACAGGCCAGGATCCACAGGAGTGTTGAAGGACTTGTGCACGCCAAGCAAAATGTTTGACATCTCCCCTTCCCCTTTCCTTATGCCATACTGCAAATTCCTTTGAAAATCCGCTCCAGATTCAAGAGAGGTGTATCGCGTGGTATGGAGTGTTGCCTGTTTGATACCCACAAGTTCAAAGCTCCAGTGAGAAAGTGGAATTTGTTCCATGGCACTTTGGATCCTGGCCACAGCCTCCAGCTATAAAAAGTTTTGCAGGGGATAGGTGACTTTTAAAAACAAACCTTAAACTTGTTCCATACTTATCTCAAGCTTGAAGAGTTGCATATGATTGCTTTTCATAAATCTGTCACTGAATTGAACTCGTGACTTTTGAATATTTGCCCACATGCCTGCTGCAGTTAATGTTGCTGGTTATATCAAAATGTATTCTAAAACATTTTAATTGCATAGGGAACATCCTAGATGGGGAGCCTCCAACACAGCTCTGGCTAGATGGCTTCCTCCAGTTTATGAAGATGGACTAAGTCAGCCCAAAGGATGGAATTACGGTTTCCTACATAATGGATTTCCATTGCCGTCGGTTGGTACTCTGTGAAATCATTAAAACGTGTATTTTTTTTATAAGAGATTTCTATACCCTGCATCAACAAAGCTTCCAGGCATAGAGCACAAGAGAGAATGTGATGAAGGAAAAAATAAAACCCACCCACTAAACAGTAACAAATGAGACATGCTTCTAAGCAGACTGGTACAGGATCACAGCCCTAATGTAGCTACCACGCAATAAGGTCCTTTGTTTCTGCCTAAAGATAATTAGAGACAAGCTTCTCGCAGGAGTGGCTGCCTGGGGCTGTGGGTGCCATGCAGCGTGTGTGACCCTGACAGTGAAATTTGTGGGTGCCTGGCCCCTTCATGGGGAATTTGTGGGTGCTCGGCCACCCAGGGCCCCAGGGAGTTGGCACCTATGGCTTCTCATTTACCACTTAGAGCAGGACTGAGGATCCTATGGCTCTTCAGATATTACTGAACTATAACTCCCATCATTCCACACCGTTGACTAGGCTGACTGAGGCTGATTGGTTTCCAACAATACAGAGAGCCACAGTTTCCCTATCCCTGCCTCAAAACAACTTTGCCAAGAGAGAGTGTGTGTGTGTTAAGTTTGTTTAAGTTGTACATGTTTAACAATTTAATAAAACTGGAATATGTTTTTAAAAATAGAACAACTTTGTGACTTACGTTATTTTGGCTAAAGTGGTACGTTCTTGGTTGCTTTCATCCCCTTTGGCTATTGAATGAAAAGTAAATAGTGTCTCACGTGCCAACACAATTAACTCTTTTTCTCCAGGTGCGTGAAGTGACAAGAAACATTATTGAGGTATCCAATGAGGCTGTTACTGAAGATGAGCGACATTCTGATATGATCACTGTGTGGGGGCAATACATCAGTCATGACCTTGCATTTACGCCACAGAGTGTAAATCGACCTTCCTTTCTGGGAGAAGCAGACTGCCAACGGACATGTGAAAACAGGAGTCCATGTTTTCCAATACAGGTATCCTTTCGGTTTGTTTTCTTTAAAATATAATTGGTTATAAAAGTAGTTAAAATATGAGAGAATAAACAAGGCCATGTTTATATTTTGTTGCTAAGCCAAAAGTTTTATCAGGATGGGGAGGATTACCATGGTCTTCTGCATCAGGTTTTTCATACCAGTAAGGAAAGCAGAAACAAATAATTCTCTGTTTTAAAGGTGTCATTCAGTTCAAATTTTCCTATGAAGGCAAAGACAGCGAAACACAAAATCTAGAAAGCCATTATTTCATAGGGGACGAACTGATTTTCAGAGTGTTATCAAAATTCCCAAACTTTGAGTTCCTTTTTCAATTAGTTTTTATTGGCCACAAGAATTTAGCATTACAGGTACGCTATTCCATAGGAACAAACCCAATAATGAAGTCACTATTGTATACACCGACTGGCAATAGGCCTCCAAGATTTCAGACAGTAGTTCTTGACCATCCCTCCCTGGAGATGCTGGGAATTGAATGTGGGACTTCCTGCATGCAAAGCAGATGCTCTTACCACTGTGCTCTTACCATAGTGCCACAGCTGTTCTTGATACTTGTTGTGCTCTAAGAAAAACATCCTTATGTCCATATGTATTGCTATGAAGGGCTATTATTATTATTATTATTATTTTAGAGTGACTGTGGACCAGTGACTTTCCAGTGTTTCGGGCACTGCCTGGAGATGCCAGGGACTCAACACGAGACATTATGCATGGAAAGCAGATACCGTACTTTTCCTTGTATAAGACTAGGTTTTTATACTCTAAAATTATGTTCAAATTATACACAGATAGTGCATAGGGGGGACGTGGGATTGGTTAATGCTGCAAGCCGGAGGTTGTCAGCAGCGTGTTATTGGTGGCTGCATCAAGGGGTGGTGTTGATTGGCTGTTGCTGCAGTAATTGGGTGGGCAATTGGCTGCTTCTACCAGTGAGGGGACAGACGTTAGCAGGCTGTTGCGACACGCACGAGTGTTAGAGTAGGTCTGGCGGGTGAGTGTTTTTTGGCAAACCCCCCCCCCCAAAGCTCAACAACCCTAGGCAATCTCCCCCATTTTCTTAATTTTTTTGTCCTCCAAAATAGGGGCATCTTATACGCGGGGGGGGGGGGTGTTAGGCACGGAAAAGTACGGTACTCTACCCCTGAGCTATATGGCCCTTCTCTGAGGATATATGTGAGAATATATATGAGTCTGTAATTCTGCTGCATATTTTTAGTATGAGCTTTCTATCCTTGAAAATGTGTGTTTGTCAAAAGCAGTATGATCCCTAGAATTAATGAATGCAATAATTTGCTGTTCTGTGGGTGATTTTTTCCTCCTCCTTCTCCTGGCAAAAACTGCTTGAAGAGCAGAAGGCACCTTTGGAAGATACTTTCTACTGATTAGCACCTTCCCCTGAAGAATACAAAAGCTCTTAAGCAAACAATTCAGTGTTCGGTTACTCCTTCACTGGCTTAACAGTCCCCTTACAGTGCCTTCACTATAGCAAGCCTCCCCATTGCCAGATTATTCATTCCTGCTAGTCATTGTTTGTTTTGACATGAAGTCTTTCCCGTTAATTAAAATTCTTACTCCATTTTAAATTTCCCTTTCTGTACAATGCAAGTCAAGAACAACACAGAATATTGCCTAAATTTAAAGGCCAAATTATAATCCCTTTGAACCAGGAGGTGCACCTACTGAGACTCCCATTTATATAGCTATTTCAGAAGCAACAGAAACCTGATACTGCTTAGGATGGACAAGGACAAGAAACCTACCCTGGACGTACCACGGGCCCTTGCGAAGAACGTGAACATACTCAACAGATCTGGCATAGCAGTTAGGGACCCAGCCTTTACAACCTACAAGCAAAGTTGCTTCTACAGTTCAGGATTTCTATTGGGAACAGGGATAGGAAGGTGACAGTTGCTTCCCCATCTCTTATGCCATTGCACCTAACAGTTAGGAGTATCAGCTAGTTTTCCCTCCCAATCCAAAATCACTCTGCGAAATCTTAAAAGCTGTGCAGCGAGCCAACAGCAATCTGTGTGCTTCCACAAGAGGAGGTGATGGCCGTTAGACAAATTCAAGGAGGCTTTGAAAGAGGATTAGACAAATTCAAGGAGGCTTTCAATAGCAACTATGTACCACCTGGGAATCACAAGTCGGGTCCTGCTAGGGGGTTCTTCTCTCGTAAGCATCTGGTTGGCCACTGTGAGAACAGGATTTTAAACTAACGGGCCTTTGGCCTGATCCAGCAGGTGTCTTATGTTCATATGAACTGGAATTAACTGTTGAAGAAGCAAAGAACACGATGTAGTGGTGGTCAATATGAGGTCCTCCTTTCCTATGGCAAGTGGTCAGGGATAACTTGAGCTGTAGCCTTGTGGACTGAGCCATTTAGTTTGTTTAGTTTACTTTTAGTTGAAACTGAATACTTTTTAAGAACATTTTGATCAGACCTAGGTTTCACTGCGCCAGCAGGGATGGACCAGACAAAAATGCAAACTCTCACATTTGGAGTTACTCTGACATTTCTGATCTAGATCTTTGTTTCATTCATTTGATTGAGCTAAAGGCATGTGTGGAATTAAGGTGATATTATCTGGCAAGCTTCTTGCAAATTGGTAAATAAGTACTTATCTGCAATGTGCTTCTCTGGCCATGTTTTTGAAATGCCACCGAGGGTATTTTGCAGAATAAGAATTGTCAAGGAGAGAGTTATCCTGGCTAGGTTTTGTTTTGCTGCTTCTTCAAATAAGAGGGCTCCATAGAGAGATATTTTTTATTATCCTGGACTTACTTCTTCCTGTGGAATATCATCATGCTCTTCCATAGCACACATTCTGGCAGATGAAAGTACCACGTCAAGCGCTCCACTTGGGAAATGAGCTACAGAACTGCATCCTGTTAACGGTACAGTTTCAGAATATCTAAAGATTGTTTTGTCTTGTACTTGTTTCCCCCATCAGTGGACGCTGTGAAATTATAGAGCTGGAAAATGGGCATTCTTCCAAACCAAAGTGTTGCCCTTTTCACCCTTCAAAAAGTAGCAAACAAACATTTATTTAAAACAGATGGGGAAAAAATTTCCTAGGTTATAGTTGGCTACAGTAATACACAAGACTCACTCCTGGAAGCTCGCCCTGAGGGCTCTTTGCAGTCAGGCAAAACTCACTGTTTGAGGTTCCTTCCACAGGGATGTCAGTCAGCAATTGATGGTGCCTCTGCTGGTGTCAGGTGTGGCACCCTCGCCCTCCTGATATTTGTCTTTCTTCCTTTCATCTTAGGTTTTAAAATTGCCTGGAAACTTTGATTGCCTATGCATTTTGAGAATCCACTGTTGTTTCCCCTTTCCAATTTTTAAACAGTTGTTTTAATACTTTTTTGTAAGTATAATGAGAATGTTTATTGCTGGTAAAAAACTTTACTATGCCACATGGCTTAGGGAGGAGTCTATGCCAGATATTATTATTATTATTCTACATTAAGGTGTTGATTTTTAAAAGAAATATCACGTCTAATTGCACCATAAACTATAAATTATTTCCCCCATGCATATAAGGCTCTCCTGCACATATAGGTTGTCCCATTCCTTTCAAAGCAGGTAGCACATAAATGAATATCACTCATTTAAGAAATAGCTGCATGGATTCCTTTCAAAGCACAGCTTTCAAAAATCCAAAGATGGATTTTTTAATGCAGTCCCAGTAAAGATGGAAATAACTTATTGATGGTTATAAGGTGTTTCAAAGTGGAAGGGACTGTCCTAGAAGGCGATGGACTCTTCTTTGTGGGAAGAAGCAGGTAGCACACACATGAATATCACTCATTTAAGGAATCGCTGCATGGATTATTCTCCTACCTTCAGTATGTTGCGAGATTGAGTATTACAAAATTACTGTCCATTTAAATAGGCTCATATGAAGTCTGATGGGTGTGGGCTTCCGCTGTGTAAAATGTAGCAACTGTACTGTGCAAGAAAATTACAAAAGCTGTTGCTGGTGGTCATATATCTATAGCTTATATGCCCCCTACTTTGCACAAGGAAGACTTGATTCCACAGTTAGCTTAGCTAACAAAAGAGGCTACTCATTGTTCTGCCACCCGTCCAATAGGAGCATCCAGAAAGATTTTTCTAAAACATTTTGGGAGGTGTTTTTCTCCCCTTCATAGGCAGTGTGCTATCCTGTCGGGTGGGGGGGTCAAAATGCACGTGACCATTCTCAGTTGTGTATTGTGACTGTCGTAGGCATAATAATATTGACTGCAAATTCTGGCTGCTTTTAATACGAAACACAGCTTCTAAAACAAAGGCAGAGAAAGTTAGATGAACCTATTGCAATGGAAAGTGTATAGGAATGTGTATGTATGAAACTTTGTGGAGCAATTGTGCCACAGGACGTTCACAAGAATCCTTTGTATCTTAGGTCAAGCTAGTTTTTGCTAGTGTCCTGAAAGACACTTGGTACACTAATTAAAAGATGGATTTTTTAATGCTGTCCTAGTTAAGATGGAAATAACTTACAAGGTTACAAGGTGTTTCGAAGTGGAGGGGACTATCAAGGTGGTGGACTCTTCTTTGTGGGAAGTTTTTAAGCAGAAGTTAGATAGCCACTTATCAGGGATGATGTTGTAGTGGCTTTTCTGTGCTGTGAGGGAGCTAGATGACCTTTGACCTCCATTCCAGCTCTCCAGTTCTTGGGAGGGAAATGAGCCCCACGCTAGCCCCTTTGTGTCTTGCAAAAATCCTGAAGGGGGAAGATTTTTGATATGATAATGAGAGTGAACAAGCAGGCAGAAGCAGTTTTCACTCTCTCTGAACCTGAAAGCTGAGCCAATGCTACATCAGGCACTCATCTGAGCAAAGCATGATGGGACGTTGCTTGAGGAAGGAGCGGATGGATTTGAACTATGTTTTCAGGACAGAGGAGATGAGCTCTGAGGGTGAAGAGCCACAGAATTAAGGACAGCAGACGGCAAACATACAAATGGTCATC